CGCTCCTCCTCGACGCGGCGGCCGCCACGCGCGGCTGCGCCAGGCCCCGCGCCACGGCACTCCTGGAGGTGCTGGGAGGTGAAGAGAGAGAAGCCACGGGGCAACCCGAGCTGGGGGCACAGAGACTGAGGCCAAAATTCACCTTGTGCACTGAAAAACAATGAAAAAAACAAACAAAAATGGTTTGTGCTCACTAGGGCAGCTTTATGTAGGTCTGTTCTGAGAATAAAGTCACAGGTATCTGCACAGAGATCAGAGCGTGCACAGGCGCTGAGCCCCGTGGGCACCCCGCTGTCCCCAGGGCGCCCCGCTGTCCCCAGGGCGCCCCGCTGTCCCCCGCGTGGCGATCACAGCGCCCGGCTGCGGTGGCACTGTCCCCTCCTGCGGGGAGCGGTGACGCCGGCCGGCCCGCTCACCGCACTCGCTGCACAAGCGCGATTCCAGCTGGGATAATCTCCATCAAACCATCTGCGCTGCCCTCTCCGCCCAGCCTGCGCCCGCTGCGATGCTGCGGCACCCGCGAGGCTGCAGCGCGGCCGCCGCGTCCCTTCCGCGAGCAGCCCGAGCCCAGCGGAGACGCACACGGAGCAGGCGCCCCGGGAGCCCTGCCGCACGGCTATGCTACCAGGAGCGCCCGCGCCAGGGCCTCTCCTGGGAAGCTCGGATACTTCCCCCTGGGAATTCAAGCCGTTTCCTTGCCATTCTTGGAAGGCACCGTGTCCCAAACTGCCAGAAGAGGAGGGCCGAGAGGAGCGCGAAGGTTTTAGTGACAACGGCGGCCGCGGCGCAGAGCAGAATCGCTGTTTGCCAGCACAGGGATGCGTTTTGGATCAGACACTCTGCATGGCTGCTGATCCCCAGGATTTAATCTCCTATTTGCTTTCTAGAAACAAGGACCATCATGTCACAGTTCTACATCAGAGCAACACCGGATTAGTAATTCAAGAAAGTATTATGGAAGTATTATGAAGAGAGATATGAAACTGAAACGCACCGTCCCCTCTCCTCAGTCTGCACGATGTCTAGCTGGCCTTGGCAGACACGATAGAGGCTCTGAAGCACAAAGCTGTCGCAGAGACGCTGCTCTGCTCTTAACGTGGCCATCAAACAGCCCAGGGACTCGGGAGTCGCTTCAGCCGTTGAGGACACGACTGCTGGGACTGATCTGCACAGGAGACAAAAACACTGACCTGCTACAGCTGCAACCAGCCCCTGCCTCCAGCAAGGTCACCGGGCCATCCAGCACAACCCTCTCCTATCCCGTGTGCCCCGCGTATTCCACAGGTCTGGAACAGCATCGCACAGCCGGCCTCTAAAACCCGCCTGAGACGCCAAGATCCAAAGGAGAGGCAGGGAATATCAGCCACAAGTGAAGGACCGGGAACGAAAGCGTATTTCAACAGTTCCTGCACTTGCCTCCAGCTCTTTATTTGGCAAGCCTTTATTTTCACAGCCAATTTACAAACAAGCAGCAAGGTACCCATTTGCTCAGGCAGAGGTTAATAGGGGTCCTGTGGTCTCTGAAGGCTCTGCAGTTGCTCTTAGGTGTGAAATTCTGGAGCAGCAATAAAGATGCTGCACAGACAGGTCTCCAGAGAGGGATTTAATCTATTTAACTATTCTCATTATATACATAGTTTTCAGCTTCCATTCACAGCAATCAGAGCTGAGACAGCTTCCAGAGGCCTTTTTGCACGTTAAACCATGAAATAGGATTTTTACGTCAGTCATTCTTTTTTCCCTGCCTTACCCAGCTTTAAGAGTCAACGTTTGACATGGTTATTGTGCAAAAGACAACAAGGTTCTTGGGCAGAAAGAACTGACAGGAGGAGGGCAGGACAAATCTTTGGCAGAGCGGTGGCACTTGGCACAAATGAGTTCCCATTGGCAACATTTCCCCAGAAAACCTATAATAGGCTATTTGTGCTGCTAGTTCTTCCCTCCCTCCACCTAAAGAGCTTTCTGTGCAGCCCTGCACCAAGTGGCACTTGGCATCCCGTGCAGAGACCTGCTGCACTGGAACCGGGAAAGGGATCCCGTTAAATCCCAACCCGACCTGCTCCCGAGGTCAGGGAAGGCCTCGATACAGCCTGAGGACAAGGTGAGAGGTCTGAGGGCGAGCAGAGGACAACAGGACTGCTTTCCTTGGGGATCTCAATGTCCATCTGTCCTCTTGCCACAGGGGAACGTAGCCGGCAAAAAAGCCCTCGTTTGCTCACTGAAATGTGGAACCTCAGCTATTCAGGAGGAGGAGAACTTAAAACAGAAAAAGAAAGCCAAGTAAACATAATGAGTTCTCTAGAGGCTGGGATCCCCAGGAGAGAGGAAGGAAATCCCTGCGCTCTTGCGGCATCTCACTCCTCCGCCTTGCTTTCATGTTGTCTTTTCCCTTTGGACAGGCGGTTTTCAGCCACCTCACTCTGCACACAGGTTTGGACAAAATCTGCAGAGTTACAGCTCTCCATGCTGTAAAGAGTAACAGCACCCGGAAAGCTCCAGGACATATCCAAGAAATCACTGGCAATGAAGCGGTGAACATTAACGAGCACAACCTCTCAGGAGTGACCCGAGCTCAGGACCGTGCCAGCGCTGTCGGTCTCGGTGTTTTGGAAGGATTATCCCCTCCGGGTAAGCAGATCACCATCAGCTTTGCTTTCTGGGGAACAAAACAACACACAGGCCGAGCACCAAGTGAGACCAGCAGAGCTGAGCATGGACTAAGTCCTGGTTCACCTGCACACTCCTCTAGTGAAAACATTAGAAACATGGATCAAAACTGCAGCTCAAAGACGATGCTGATGGCCCTCTGAAAACAGAGCAAGGAAACAGCTTCCCCCTAGTTATCCACAGACTAATGCAGGATTCTCCTGCAAACACTCTCTCCCTACTACTAACAAGGAGTTGAGAAAAGTACTGAAATCTTCATCTCAATTACTGAGCAGGGAAGGATTAACCACCACCAAAGACTTTGCAAATATTTATTCTCCAAATCCATAAGAGGAGACAAGGCAGGGAAAGGCATCTCTGAAAGTCATGTAAACACAGACAACAACAAGTCTAACGCTCACACAGTCTAATTTCTTTTTTTTTTTTTTTAATTTTTCGAGTGCTAACAACAATTACTGTCATGAGTTATAGGCCTAATATCTGGGAGATGCAGGCAGTAATTAATGCGTGTCTGCCTTTTCTGACTAACTCCTTCTGCTGGATCAGGAAGAGTTATTGAAATTCAGGGAGGAAATCCTCAATCATGTGGAAGTTTTAAAGAAATAGAGCAAGATGAAATTGAACAAAGCAATAATATTTCTCTTAAATAATTAACTAGGCTTTGACATTCACTAATATTTCTGAGGCCCAAGCTCCCACTTTTGCAATAATGCTGGAACAAGTGAACTCAGGGATGTGATCCACTGTGTGCACAAAATAGAGTAACCAAAAAATAGCTTCATACAGTCTCTATCCCTGAACTCCTCTGCAAACACAAAAGGGACAAGTTCACCAGGAGCCTTTTCACTCTGCTGGTTTTTCCTTTTCCCTTGGGATGGTCTCCTAGAGCCTGAGCAGCCCCCAGCAGCCGCACTGGTGTTACTGTCACAGCCGTGTCCCCACGCCGCGCTGCAGCGCTTCTCCTCCCGTCCTGCCCCGCGACACCCGTGTCGGCTACGAGGGCTCGACGCCCACAAGGCTCGGGAGAAGCTGTTTATCATCCTTGGGGAAAACCTTGGTTCCACAGCAGAGCCACTGCGCAGTAATAGATGCAATAGACAATCCTAAACTAGACAGAAAGCTATTAGAAAAGCAGTGTACAGCACGGGGTGTGGGGTAAGTGGTAGGTTTCCATCATCTCTCAAAAAGCTGATCCTCTTGGAGCATAAACATATTTTATCCACATCGAGAATGCACTCTAGAGAGCCTAATATACTTGAGTATATTGAGAACAATTACTTCAAAGCAACTTCCTTCAGCCTGCCACTGAAAAAAGAAAGGAAAAACAAACCCAAAACCCACACGACACTGGCCTGGACGTGTCACCGGCTTAAGCAACACAGAACACTGCTCCGATGATGGAACATTAATTTACCAAACCCCAGACCATCAGGATGATTTTGATGGCCAGCCGAGTCACCAAATGAAATACAGCAGTGTCACCAACACAACAGCAGCTAATAGGCAGTGAAGCATGACTGAGTTTAGAGCTTCACACCTTTGCTGTTTACTGGAACCCCACTATTCCTACAAGGAAAAAAAACCCAACCCTAAATGTAGTCATGCTATTTCTGGGCAAAAACAATGTTTAAAGGGAAATTGCGGCCACACAAGTTTCAGAAACTCACCAGGTAGAGTCTGTAGGCATCAATCCGTCGAATCGGCCCCCAGCACTTATCTGTGTCGTTATACTTGGTGCCATCTCCAACACTGCAGGAATGGTTGCCAGTGGCACTACTGGAAAGGAGGAGGGAGAAAGTTATTCACTCCTAACAGGCATCTTCCCTGCTCCTACATTCAAGGGAGAGAAGTGCTCAGAGACACTACGTGTCCAATCCTCATCCCCTTTCCTCCTCCCACAACAAATCCACACTCCTTGCTCTGTTGCACAGTTCAGCAAAAATAAGTCACCCAAATCCAGGTGTCTAAAGGCAAATCGCAGACCACACGCAGTTACTGAGAAGTTGGATCATCAGGCTTGGCAGGCCCTGGGGGCTTCACTGAAGCTTCCATTCCCAAGTCATGAATGCAAATTCACCCAAGCACAAATCTGACCAAAACAATCTCTTCCATTAGTTGCTTCTTTGCTTACGAGAAAGGGCCTAGTCCTAGCCCAAGGCTTCCCTGGCAGCACACAGCCCCGTGGCACACTTACCAGGTCACCTGCATGAGAGAGACCGGCACCGCCGCCGCGTAGATCGCCAGGTCCCCGTAGAGGTAGACAATGATGCAGAAATAGAAGAGGTTGACACCCACTGCAGGAAAAGGAAACGTTGTACAGAGATGGCAGAGCACACACGGACTCGCAACTCTATGTCAACAATTCACACCAAACTTCTCCAAGGTCTTTAAAAAAGATTCACTGTTTGCCTTGTTAGTTAAGATCTTGCAGCAGGAAACTCCACACAAGGGTCACAGCAGCAGCTCAGGGAACTTGGTTATAGCAAAGGAACTGACAGGACACGAGGTACCTCAGAAATCAGCTTGGCCTTGCTGAATATCTGCCCTTGACACTAGGCCCCCTGGTTTAAGCCCATCCTCTAGCAGCTGGCCAAGACCAACAGGTCTCGCACAAGCCACCCACCAGATGAAGCTGTCAGCTTGGAAGGACCCCAGAAAAGCACCTCGAAGAGGCTGGCAGAGCGGGCAGCAACACGGCTTCAGAACCAGTGAAACGCAGACACCTTCAGCGCTGCGTGACCCAAACTCTGCCTGCAGAGCTGCACGACCGGATCTGCACGCACAGACCTCGAGGGCTGAAACGAAGCTGCTCGGCGAGATCCCACAACATCAGCATCCCAAGGCAAGTCGCAGATCTGCAAAGCTCTAAAACTTCCTTTCTGAAGCTTTCTAATACACCAGTGCCGCAGGCAAGGAGCACGGGTCTCTGCTGCCCTGCTTTGTACTTTCTGTCTGGTGTTGCTTTGGGAAAAAGGCTTGTTCTGCATTCAGCTGTGAGATTCAAAATGTCTTAATTAGGCAGATAAAACAGCTTTATAGGGGCACGACCACACATGGATGAGAAGGGCCAAAACGAACAGGTATAAAAAGATGCTTCATGAGATGTTGGACTCCCAGACAAATTGGAACATACTTTAGTTCAGAGATGGTGAGCTATGAAATATATAGATATATATATATTCCATTTAAGAAGTTGGTATTACAGGAAAATTGCTCATGGTACCTGCCCATGCTTTCAAATTGTACTGGCTGATGCTAAAATCTTAGTGCAACTTGGGCAAATCAGTTCATGTCCCCAAGTCTCACACGTGACGACTATCAAACAAGGATAACATTATTGCAGGAACAGGGATTAATATTTCTACAATGCTCGATACCCCTTAGTTTTACCATGGGCTTTGCCATCCTACTGCTCCTAGATCTCTGGATGCCAGGAAACATTAATAGTCATTCCCCTTCATCTAAATAAATTATTCAATACACTGAGTGCGCTTAACAAAAAGCATTTCTAAAAAGGGCTGTATTTGGAAAGCAGCAATACAACTTCCCTACTTCTAGAAAGCAATACAGGAAGCTAACACTTGCACGGGCCAGAAGTGTTCCTGGTTTGTCTAAACTAGAACACATTGAGATCTTCAGCTCCTCTACAAACAGTTAGCTCATTTTATGTACTCTCCCCTCATTTTTTCCTCTGTGAAGGACTAAAGATGTCTACATCCTTAGGAGCCTCTGCATCATTTTGAAGATGGCATAAAACTACCCACTAGTTTTCTCTAGCTTCCTATTAAAGGAATTTGAAAATCAGAACAATATCTGACATGAGAAGCTCCAGATTCACTAAGCATGGGACAAGCTAGACACAATTATAGATTTTATTTCAGTGACCTGCTACTGATTTCAGGCTTCAGTTGCTCCATTCATAAAATAAGGTTAACGTGACGGACAAAGAATTCAAGAGAAAACACTCCTCCCTGTGCTGACAGTCATTTTGCCTTTGCTAAACAGAGAGCTGACAGCTTTCCCACACTGGGCACAGGAGAACTGTGCTTTAGCATTCCTCCATCCGGCAGAACAGCAGCGGGACAAGAACCCCGTTTGCAGCACCACACGAACCCAGCCTGCAGCAGCACCACTGGGGCTTTGCTCCTGGGCATTCATTCACTCTCCCCCTGTCCGGGGCACACTCCACCTTTGCAAAGTCCAGGGGATAATCCTCTCCAAAATCCTTCCTCTCCAGAGGCAGGAAACTTTGGTGTCAGTTCTTTTACAAACTGCTACTGACCCTCCCCAATCAATAGTTTCATTACTGGACACAAAACAGGAAAAATCAATGACTTCCTGTGAGGACACAGCACAACAGATGTGCCCAGAATCCATTATTACAATAAATGACTGCTGGATTCCAGAAGAAAGCATCCAGCACTGCAAGTTTAAAAGAAAAAGGGGAAAAAAAGTCATAATTTAGAGCTGGTTCTTTTGGGAGAGCACACTGCAAGCTCTTCACAGGCTAAACTCAGCTCCCTTGAAGAAAGCAGACAGTCTGAAGGAGGGATTTATCCCCAGCTTAACTCTCGGAGTTGCAGATGCAAATCCTGTTAGATTGTTGAAATCTATCAAGGGAAATGAACAGATAACTCACTAGAAACGAGAGGGTTTGAGGCCTGTTGCAAAGCCCCACTAGCCCTCCTTCTGAAGGCTCCAAAGCTCTCACACATCTCATCTTTGGACGCCCACTTTGTATACTGCAAGCAAAAAAACCAAAAGGCAGCCCAGACGTTTGCTAGCTGTGAACCTGCAGAGGCTGGGGTTGGGTCAGGACGTCAGGCACTGCCCAGGCTCTCACTGAACCTGACCGAGCCCTGCACGGCTGCCACAGGACGCCCCTCACGAGGTGTGTGCAGAGGCTGCACTTCTGCACCTCCCTCCAACTGCTCAGGAGACCGGGGGCATCTCCGACCCGGGCCTTGCAGCAGCACCGGGATGGAGCCTCATTCCGGAGCGCGGAGGACGGGCACGCAGCAGGGGAGTGACAGCCGCCCTAACGCGTGGCTACGCACACCTCTCACCCGGCTGGACATCACCGCTTCGGGCTGCGATCTGCAGCTGCTGCAGCCGAGTTCATCTTATCCGTTTGCACTGGACTGTGCGGGTCCAGAAGAGGATCCCTAACACAGAAATCAGATAACTCTGGCTAAAGCAACATTAAGAAGGAGGATTAAGATCTGGAGTACTAAGCCGTTTATATCACTTTGCTAGGAAGAAGTGTGTGAGCGACTCACGGGAGGGAGGACGTGAATTTCCAGCACCCTCTGCTGGCTGGGAAGCAGCTAGTGCCGAGGCAGAGGGAGGCAGCACTGCCAGGCCTTGCCTTGCCTTGCTTGAGGGGCCCTTATCATCTCTCTATTAAATTCATGCAAGGAGTGACCTTCTGAAACTGGTTTTTGGGAACATTCTCCCACGTGGGTTCCCCCAGGCCTTGTCAGTACCCACAGTGGGATCCCCAGTGATACTGCTCCCCCTCCAAGCACTTCCCAAATATTGCTCCCCACTGCACCACCACGGAGAGACAGGGAAGTCTTTTTTCCCCCCATTAAACAGATGAAGCAAACAACAAGGTCCAGAAGAGCAAAAAAGGTTTTTTCTTCATCTGAACTTTTAAACCAGCAAAAACAAAGTTCAAAGAGTTCTTACTCCTTAAACCTTTGAAGGTGACGGGCTAACACGGGCATAAAGCTGCTGTAATGTAGTGGAAAAGAGCAGCCCATTATGCATTTATGTGGCTAGTGAACAAAAGAAAATACTATTTTCCACAAGAAATGGGGTCTGATGAGCTCAAAACTGTACAGCTATGGTGTTGGAGGGTTTTCTGGTTCCGCATAGCATTTCTCAAATGTATTTTCTCTAAGTATCCGCACGCCCAACTTTATAGCTGTATTTGTACTGTGTGCAGCAATGGATATGGCTTTATTGCAGCATAATTACAAGCTTGTTCCCTGATATGCAACAAAAGGCATTTAAAAGCACACAAACAAGACATCTGCCTATTCGAGTGTCCAGCACGGACCCTTTTGACTCAGCAGTTTAGTGTCCAGGCAGCCGCTCTTCTACGTGACCTCCCTGGGACACACAACTCTCAGCAAGTTCTCTCCAGCCGCCAAAACTCACGGGCTTCAGACAAACCTGAATGCCTCGTTCTCAAACACCATCACCAAAGTGGGGCTCATGTCCTCTATAGTCTGGCTGTACTGCTTTAGATAGTGAAGATCACAGAGGATCTATGCAGCACTGAGTCAGACTGAGTGACAGAAGTCACAAGCAGCAGTGACTTTTACTTATCTGTTTCAAGAAAAGTGGGCCTAAATCCTGCAATTGTATTTCTGCTACTGGGCTCTTTTTTAGGCAGGTTCTGGCCCATCCAAGTACAAAATGCTCCACACAAATACTGCATAGGAGGATGAATGTAGCCTACAGAGAAGGAAGGACACTTTCAGGTGGAACATCACAAACTCAGGATGCATCCAGATTTAAGGAACAGCCATAAGCACAGTACGCAGCAGGACTTGAAGGGACTTTTAAAAAATGTTAAAACATTGAAAACGAAAACAAACCTTTATTGAAGAACATGGAAGCCATCTGACCCATTTCCACCCTTTCAGTGATTTCAAAGATATTGGGTGAACCACGTCTCTCTGCAAGTTGAAAATGAGAAATGTTAAAAACAGTTACTTCAATAAACACAGAGGACAGACTGTCTGAACACACCCAAGAAGCTCTTGCAACAGCTTTAAAGACAATATGTACGACCCTACACCCACAAAGTCATCTCCTCAACAACCCTGAAGGTAGTTTAAAATGTTTCCAAAATAAGATACTCTCATCTCAGTGACCTAAAAGGAGAAGATCTTTATCAGACAGGAGAAGGCAAAGAGAATTAGCAATGAATCTTATCTTAAGAGACGTAAGGACTTTGGGATGCAAACAGACAGAGTTAAGGGCAAAATGGACAGAAGGATCCTGCGTCTGCTTCCTGGAGCCTGCTGGGATGCTGCCTGCAGGGAACGAGCGCAAGGCTGAACTGGGTACTCACGAACTGAAAGGATAGGCCGCGTCTCCGCTCGCTCGTAGCCATCCTGGAGGAGAACATCGCTGTCAGATACTCCAGAGGAGGAATCCTCATCCTCCTCATCATCTTCCTGGCAGAAAGGAAAGAAAACATGGAGGCTTCTGCTACCCGCGGCACGGGTGGCACCCCCACTGTCACAGCCCCACTTCCAGAACCCAGAGAAGGTGCTGAAGGAAGCAAGAACAGGGGGTACCGCAGAGCCCTCGTGCCCTGGCTTGGGACACGCTGGTGGCAGGAAAGGGCACTAGTAAAACCGGCTAAAGAGAGTGATAAAGAGACTGTGTTGTCCTAGCAGTGCATATGCACAGGAATGGTGTCTAGTTGGTGTTCTGGTAGGTGTAGATCTGGCAGATTTGCAGGATTGCAGAAATGGTTAAAAAGAATCCGAACACATTCACTATTATAGCTGGCCAGAGCAGACATGTTTATCTCATCATTCCAACCCACCCACCTGCAGGCAGGGATCTAAATCAGTGCAAACAATTACACCTCACAAATGCCTCCAGAAAAGCCACTGAGGACAGGATCCAATAAAACAGGACTCAGCTTTACAGCAAGGACATTCTCCAGGAATGTTTCCTCCTTGGGACACAGTGCGAATGACAGCAAGGACATTCCCGCTTGTCCCAGTTAAATGACCCGAGATCAGCAAGGATTTATGGACCTCAGCACGCTCCGAACGGCCCCAATGTGTCGCTGCCACCTCTCCACACTCAGTGCGCAGCGCTCCGGGGCAGGCAGAGCAGTCAGGAAGAAACGGGAGAGCGCAACAGATTTTTCAAGGCAGGAGCAGAAATTCCTGACTTTAACGAGCAACCCCACAGGGAACTAACAGCCATATTTTATATGACAAAGTTAAGTACAGTAGAAATTTATTCCGTTATTAGAGTTACTAACGAGGCAAGGCAAAGCCTGCGGAGGAATGTGAGGGCAGCCCTATGAGATAAGAGAATGATAGAGTCTGAAAGTTAAAGCTGCACAAACCTTGCGCTTTTCCATCCTCTTCCATCGCAGCTGGGCATTTGCAGCAGCCATGGCTTCTACCACAAAGGTGGTAGTCATATAGCTAGAGGGAGAAATTCAAGGGATATTAATAACAGGAAAGAACTGCAGCTGAAGAAACACAGAGAACTATTTTCATCTGCTTTTTAGGAGGAGAAACGTCTACAAAAACCTTTCACCATCTTTTTTCCCCCCTGCACACACTTTTTTGCACATATTTTAACTCAGTTTGCTACTCTCCCCTGACCTTGAGATTAAGGTGCTCAATCGGGACACAAAATACAACATGCAAGAAAATAAAACATGCTGTCAGATTAAGGAAGCATCTTGAGTATCTGGAAGACACCTTGTTAAAGGTTCCCAGGGTTGGAGAAGGCAAGAGGATGTTCCCCTTCCAAAATACAACATGCAAGAAAATAAAACGTGCTGTCAGATTAAGGAAGCATCTTGAATATCTGGAAGACACCTTGCTAACGGTTCCCAGGGTTGAAGAAGGCAAGAGGATGTTCCCCTTTGTTAGGCAGCAACCTTCCTTCCCCCTTTTTAGGTCACAGCACTAATAAATACTATTTTGAAGCTTATCCAGGGAAGAATCTTAAAAAGAGCATTAAAAGTAAAGCAGCAATACAAGCCCAATAAGCAGATCACAAGTGCATGCAAATATGCTTTGCTGGAAGACCACAGGAAGACCTGTCCAGGGAGATGGCTACTGATGTTTCTATAGATAAACTGTCATTCTCTCAATTAAACAGTCCTATAACAAAAGCCCCAAATCAATCTTATTTAAGGCTTTAAAGCGGTTTCTTACTGCTTGAGGAACTGGAGTCATTTATCAAGCTCAAGTGAGAAATTAGTTTTGTCAGGATAAAAGAAAGCAGCCCCATCCTGAGGCTCACGTAGCAATTCCTGCAGATTCTGCTCACAGTGAAGGGAAGATCCCCAGAGGGCACGAGGGAACCGCAGGCACAGCAGTGAGCACGGGAACAAACGCAACAAGGAGACGCAGCTCCCAGGCACTGGGCACCACCAGGCAGCCCTTCCAGGGCAGCCCTGCACTGCATTAAACCCAGCAAAACCGTATCAGAGGGCACTGAGTTCTATGCACTGACTTCCTCTTTGAAAATAAAGCATCTAGGAGGAATTGCTTCCAAATCTTCCAATTACTGGCACTCCCACAACTCACATTTTACAAAGCCTCTGTGACATACAGCAATAAGGTATGGAACTTGCAAGCATCAATACATTTAGTGCTGAGACTTGGCTGCCTTTGTATAGCAGCATCTAACAGACCAGAAGGGCACTGTCTTCAAATGAAAGGTAAATTCAGGTTGACAGAGCTGGCTACCCACAAGAAAGGAACTTTCACATTCTGTTCTTACAAAGGCACGAGATTTTTCAAAAGCAAGCTAGAACCAAGCAAGGATTCACAACCCATCAGGGAGATGGCACTGCTATTAATAACTGGAGAACCTCAAGCTGCTTTCAGCTCCACCTGCTGCTCCAGCAGGGAGGAATCTGGGCAGAAGCTCGCCGTGAACCAGCATGGAAATCATGAGACCAACTTCAAGGTCTCAAGCAGCAAAAACAGGAATAAGTCAGGCCCAGCCACACGGTAATTTGTTTTCTTGACACTCTTGCTGCTGCCCAGAATACTGCCAGACACCAAGATAAAACTAACACAATAGGTCTGTTTCACAACTGCAAATCACAGGCAGAGAAAGGCATCCGTGTCACTTGTGACCTGGCCAGTGTTTGGTGAATCTGTCAGTGACAGAGACAGGCATGGGAGGCATCTGTGAGGAAGACAGTTTCGGAAATGGAAGCTGAGAGAAAGGTCCCAGAATGCTGTGGACTAGACAGCCTTCCCTTACAGTCAGGAGACGGGACAAAGCACCATACCCTGGATATTGGTCAGACTTCCACAAAAATGCAATCCTCCAAATAAGGGCCACAAGGAAGACAATGTAGACATCTCAGTGCATAAGCAGGAGAGGGACAAAATCACTCGGAAAGGCAGCACTGCAGGTCTGAGCACTGCTGTCCCAGCTGCACGTCACAGAAACCTGCTCCACACGTACCTCATGAAGCCCAGGAACATGAGGAGGACGAGGCTCACGAGCCACCCCGCGGTCGCAAAGGCCTTTGGCATGGTTAAGGCTCCCGTCCCGACGATGAGGTTGAACATATACACCAGACCGACCTGCAAGCATTCACATAACCCAACATCAGATTTTGCAGCTGACGAGCCACCCCGCGGTCGCAAAGGCCTTCGGCATGGTTAAGGCTCCTGTCCCGACGATGAGGTTGAACATATAGACCAGACCGACCTGCATAACCCAACACATAACCCAACATCAGAGTTTGCAGCTGTCCCACAGAAAAGTTAACACACCTCAGTCACACTAATTATAGAGAGAGAAGGATGGGGACTGACAACCAAATAGAATGAATTGAGTTTCAGCACGTTTCTGGGGAAACTGATATTCCCTCTCCAGCTTTCTATTCTTTGCAAAGCTTATATGGATTATTTAATGATCTTGAGTCACATTTGGTCACGTATCCCCCGCTGCAGGGGTTTGGAAACAGGGAGCACAGAGTATGCTCAGTGCTATGGGAAACCCTTCACGCAGCCCACCTTTGAAAACCTAAAGAGCAGCAGAAACACGACCTCCAGCTACTCCAAACAGCCCTGCTGCCATGGAGTTAGAGAACATCATCCCAGGAAGGCCTCATTACTCAAAAAATCTCTTTTTCTTTACCATCAGCCAAACAGAATTGTAACCCAAAGCTTGCTTGCCATTTTTCCAGGAAGCAGCTAAGCACACTTTGAAAAAGGGGTTGCTATTGCTTATGGAAGGAGATGGATTTCATCCTCTCTTGAAATTATTTTTTTTCTGACCAGGGCAAAAGATAATTGTGCACCTGGACAGGACTACTGCCCATCCCTAAAAACAAGGGGAGAAATTTAGCTAAATCCAACACAAAAAACTGCCCCCGAAGTTCTTCATATAGGTCAGAGCCTCTCCAGGGGAGAGCAGTTAAAGAACTCCAAGTACCTTCCTGGTGTGGAACAATTGATACCAGGAGATGTTTTTACTCAGAGACCCTCGTGCACTCCTGCCCTACATTCACTGACGTTAGCACAGCAAATTCAGCTCAGACTGGTCTCCCAGAAGGGCCAAAATCAGCCATTGCAGCCTGCAGGAAAGCTCCTTTCATGCAGCTGGCAGAGCTGTCACTTCCCAAGCACATCTCCTGCTCCAAATGCCCAGCAGCATCACTCACTTTCCAGTGAAGGACGCTCCAATAAAAGCTCAGGTGATTTTTCCTGACTTTGGTCAAGTAGACACAGAGATGAGAATGATGCCTGTGTATTCAATCTGGCTAGACATCTTCAGGAAAAAGGACAGAGAGCTATAGCATTTTTGGTGAGACTTTAGGAGATCTCTGCAATACTAACTTAACAACATTAAGAGCAGGTGACACTAATCCTTTAGGGTCCAGATGCCCCAGTTACTGCCTTGTTCTCTCTCCTTCATTTGTAGCCTATGTTTGCAGTATTTTATCCAGTTCTTCTAACTCAGTCATTAATATGGAGATAAAAAGAGTTTAAAGCATTTGAAAGTCAACACTTAGATTTCAGCACTGTGTCTGCCTTAAATAATCTGTGAATTCACTTTGGAAAGCAAAAATAAATGTTTGTAGAGCAAGAGGCCATACTGTTTTTAAGAGTTGATGCTGTGTGACTCCATCGCCTACGATCAACAGTGTTTCTGTTAACACAGGGTAGTATTAATTGGTTCTGCAGAAAAAGCAAAGTGGGACAGTTTTCATGTCACAACCCCCCCTGTTTATTCTAGCTCCACATGACAGTTTGGGCCAAAGAAAACACTAAAAAATATACATAAAGTGAGAATAAGGGCTCATATAGGATTGGAAGTTATTCAAGAAAGAACACAAGAAAGAGACCAGGCTATTTCATTACTCTGACTCCATCATCCATTATCTCATGAAACATTGAGGCTATGTTCATGGGGAATAAGGAAGTAAAAACACAAATAATGCTGAGAGAGGATGATTTTGAAAAGACTGCCAGGCAGAAACCCAAGCATCAGCCATGGGCCAAAACAGCAGTACTTACGTAAGGAGAGTAAAGCTCCCCGGTGTCCGTAATGCCCCCAGCCATGCCGACAGCAGGGAGGCAGGGAGCTCTCAGCTTCTTCGGCCTCTACCTAACGAAACAGCACAGAGTTTCAGCATCTTCTTCAGGAACAGTCAACGGTTGTGCTCTGTTTTCCTGACACCAGAACAAGAGAGGATCTATTGCACTTAGGAGCACGCTCAGATACACCCCATTCACACGCAACACTTGGTTGAACCACCTGTGAAGAGTTCTCTGGGCCTGTTAAACTAGTTACAGAAGTAACCAGAGCCCTGTCCTTTTCCAGCACAGCGACATGAACTCATCCTCCCAGAACAGCCGCAGGGGCCGTGTCGGACACCAGGCCCTCAGCAGGAGGAACGCCTGTCCCGAGGGCCATCTCGGACACGGCCCCGCTCCGCAGCAGCCTCCCGCCAGCCAAAGCGGCCAAACGCAGCCCAGAGCCTCCCTCATCACCTCCAGCACAGAGAGGGACCCAGGGGACAACACCGGACCTCGGACAACAAGATATTTTATTACATATACCCAGGTTTCACAGCAGCAGCATTCAGGGAATGTTACATCACCTGGGAAGAACTACTGGAGGGCAGCCCGGTGTGCTGAAATATTTATAACTCCAATAATTAGTTGTGGTTGAATTATTTAAGAAATAAGTGAAACTCATTATACTTCTATAGCACAAACCTTTGTTAACAACAACCAGGACAATTCATCAGCACAAACCGCACGTGTTAAGAGCCCTGCTCAAAAGGCAAACTGGTGGTAAACTTTTCACTTCCTCACCCACAGAACTACAGGAATCAAGGAGCAGGTCCAGCCAACAGTGGTTGGAGCTAGGCCGGCCCTCAGGCCGTGGAGGAAACGGGCCCTTTCACTGGATTTAAGCTCAAGGCAGCGAGGCAAGAGGCAGGAACAGGGGCCATGGTGCCAGCACTCGAACAGCCACGTCAGGGACACGGCCGCACGGGCACGAGCGATAAACGCCACGAGAC